GCATCCCTTTGTAGAATATTCCAGTTAGGATCAATGGAGGCTTTGAGGGCTGTACTTGCCATATGGAATGTCATAGGTAAGACTGTTCTTGACGGTACTTTATCCTTTGTACTAGTTTCTTGAACATCGAAAAATCTCTTCTTCGCCTCATCCAGGGCATGGTCGAGTGTGTATTTTTTATATCCATGAACGATAAACCTGTCATACATTATTTTTATCTGATCAGTCCGTTGGTCTTCCAGTGAATTGTTGAACTCGCAAAAACTGAGACATGGAAAGTGAATCTTTAAGTTGTTTGGGATGAGAACTCTCATAGTGTAGAATGGTATTCCTATATGTAGGTTTGGTATATAATTTGTGCTCCAGTTTTCCCTCCTTAAGTGACAACTCAACATCAAGGAATTGTATGTTATCGGAATCAATTATTGATGTGACCCTAACCGGTGTAGGTAGCCCATTAATGTATTCCTCAAATCTTTGGGCCTCATCTTCTGTACCATTCCAAAGGATTAAAATGTCATCAATGAAGCGATAGTATTTGATGATCTGCCATTCATATTTTTGCAAAATAGATTTCTCCTCAAAGGCATGCATGTATGAGTTTGCATACATGGGGGCCATTGCCACCCCCATCGAGGTGTAAGAGACCTGCAGGAACCAATTAGTTTGGAATTTAAAATAGTTGCACTGAAGGGCCAGTAATAGTAGTTCCATAACAAATTCAATTGCTGGACCCTGATAAACCTCAGAGTTGGACAGGAGGTGCCACATTGCCTCAATACCATCATCATGAGGAATGATAGTATATAACCTATTTACATCCATTGTAATGAATAAGCCCCGGAATTCCCCTATAGTCTTCAGGTCCCTCAGAAGACTGCAAGTATCTTTGATACAGGTTGGGATTGTCATCACCAAATCTTTGAAAAGATAATCCAGGTATTTAGCAATTGATTCAAGGATACCATCTACTGTCAACACTATTGGCTTCCCGGGGGATTCTTCAAGCTATTGTGAATTTTTGGAAGTGTATATATGATTGGAGTACGAGGACTTTTCTTCTGTAAAAAATTGAATAGATTGAGATCAATATGACCTGCTCCTAGGCCTAATGTGAGAGTATCTTTTGATTTTTTTGTGCAATTTTAACAGTGGGATCTTGTTCCAGAGGTTGGTACGTGGTTCGATCCTGGAGTTTTCTAAGGATCTCATGGGCATAATCTGCATAGTTTAAGATCACTATCCCTCCAAACTTATCCACAAAAAGATAAAAAAACAACATATAATAAATATATACAAAGTCACAGAACAAATGTATATAACAATATAGGATAAGCAAGAATAGTGCTGGCAGTGAATACTTAAATAGTCCTTTGGTATAAAAGCAGGATTGGGCAGGCACCACTAGTAATAGGTAGGGCACAGATCCAGAGTTCACAAGGCAGATATACCAGGAAGCAAGACCAGAGGCAAAATAAATGAACCAGGCTGCAGGGTCAGGATCACTGGCAATAAGGCAATAGCACACAGGAGCAGGTGGACACAGGAACGAAGACCAGGAGGACACAGGAACTAAGGACCAGGAAATGCAGGATACAGAAATCACAGGGAACCAGGAACCGGGGAAACAGGAGACAAGAGATAATGATCTGACAAGGAGTTAGGGGAGAAACCAAACTAGGTGCTAACCAAGGACCAGGTGAAGTGCTAATGAAAAGAAATTAGAAACAGTGCCAAACAGAGATAGTGGTGTAAATGGGTACTGCACGAGAGAATATCAACTAAGGAGTGTGTCGTGACAGATTGGAATGTTGGCATTTGTGTTTATACAAGATTTCATCTATCTCATGTTTTACTGTAGAGAGGAAGGTCCTGATGGTTGCCTGATGAGGTACCGGGTCAAATTGGCTAGGAGGTTTAAATTGGCCTATTTTTTTTTAATTGGTGTGCTGTCCTGTGCCATTGTTTTATTGAAGAAATCCTTCAATCTAAGTGTACGACCAAATTTGAAAAGTTCCAGATTCCAGTGGAAATTATTAGGAGCCGATTAGGGACAAAGGCTAAGCCCTTATATAAGATGTTAGTTTCTTTCTCTGTGAGTACTCTGTGGAAGGATTAAAGACTGGAATCATTTCCGGAGAGGGGGTTTGCCTTTGGGACCAATTTTTCCCTCCCTCTTGTCCACATCTGGTGGGAGTTCTCTGCTACTCCGTGTAACGGCTCTCGGGGGTGAGGTTGTTTTCAGAGGTTCTGTTCTGTCTAAAAAATGGACAGTTTTGGGTGCTTGTGAACCCTCTCCTTCTGAGGCTGATTCACCAGAGGTGATGTCAACTGTTGACACATTTGGTTTATTAATTTTTCTCCTAAATCTTCTAGGACGGCTCCTATTTTCCCTTGATAGCCATTTATAGACTGAATATTCCTGATGGTCCTGTTGTACTCTCTCCATTTTTTGTGTCTTGAACTTAATCAATTGATTTTTATATTTAATGATTTCTTCACTTCATTTCAGTTTTAAAGTAACACCTTCCTGTGAATTCATCAATAAGGCATGTTCCATTTTCAATGCTTAAATCTTTTAATCTCCATTATATCTTCCTTCACATCCTGGATTGTAATTAGCATAAGGTCTAAGGAACATTTGTTAAGGACTGATGTCCAATCTTTACATACCTTGGATTAGTTGTAAGAAAAAACAAGACATCTAAGGGTAAGCATGATTTTTTTTTACAGATATTTAGAATAAGTTTTATATTGAGTGGGGGGTGGATAAAGGCTTAGTGACCACCGCCATTCTGTATTTAGTCAAGAACCCCCACACATGGGAGGTGGCTGGGAGGCACTAAATTCTCCTGGTTTATGAATAATATATGAAACCTAATTTGCTGCCCATGGGTATTATAATAATTTGAGTCTCTGCCCACAGGGGGCATCATGTCCTCTCATTTATTATAATCAGAGCCCCAGTGTGTTGGTCTATGCTTTTTTTTTTAATTCATTGACCCTACCATGGGGGCATGGAGGGGAAACTTGGGGATTTTATGTTAAGAGATTAAGAGATATTTTAAGAGATTTTTATTTTAAGAGAGCCCTCACCAACTGGCCATTCTTTAATTTGAAGCCTCCAATCCAATACTCATGGGTCAGTGCATGCGGGGAACTGTTAGAATTTACTGGTTGATCACTGTTTAGAAAACATGCTTCCAATTGCTTTTTTTTTTTCAATATTTGCATGCTGGCTGGTTTCAGCAGTCAAAATTTACAAGGTAATTTGTCATGGAGTACATCCTTGATAAATGGTAGCATATCATATAATCCAATCCATCCAATCATTAGAAAATATATTTTTTGTAAATTTATAATATTCAATCTAATATTTATCACCTCATAAAAAGCCTTTTAATGTAGGTATTAAATTGATCAAAATCGATAAAAAGGCTTACCTGGTAAACTGATGAAACGCATGATACTGGCTCAGTGGTTGACAAAGTTTGCTTTTTGGTGGGAACCCATTATGGATTTGTTTTGGAGAATTTAGTTTGAATTCATATTTGCATTTAATATCTTCCTGCATGTAAGGAATCATACACTTGTGCACAGAAATATAAGTTCTGCCAACCATAATTCAAAAAAAATAAAAAAATGATTCAGCAAGACCATTGTGTTTATTGTGTTCTCGGATGTGCAGGTGCTTTCTGTTTGGATGCAGAACTTAAAAAGATAAATAGAACCAAATGACTGTATAGATTCCAGCTATACTCAGTATATTTCGTATACAGAGGCCAATGTTTAGTTACAAAAAGACGCAAAGATAAGAAGTGCATGTTGAAAGCGTATATCACCTTTGAGGAAAAAAGACACGTTGACACATTTCTCACATCATCACATAACTGCAAGTGAACTATATGATCAAAGCTGCCCTCTGTAAAGGAGGAACTTCCTCTGTATTCTGTCCAGATCAATGCCAAGGAGCAAATCACTGCTGTATGTAATGTCTAATTAGTAATGGGATTTAGATATATCGAAGAGAATTTACCAGAATGGAATATGCGACTTTGATTCTTGCATGTATAACAATTAAAAAAAAAAAAGTCAGTGGAGCATATTTTCCCTTTGAAATGCATATCTTCAACTATGATTATATGTTTATATGGTGTTTCAATCTTAACTTACTTTCCTTGTGTATTTGTTGTTTACCTTTTATTTGTTTTTGTATTTATTGTTTATTGATTGTATTCATATAACCAATGATATACAAGCTGGCATACATGACATAAAATGTTATAATACATTTGTCTTGACAGATATTGAAAAGAGTAGTGCAGAAGCTGCTTTTTGCAACCACATAAGACATAAAAAAACGGAAAGAAAAACATAAAAATGCAGTATATTCAAACTGTATATTATTATTATTTCCATTTATATAGCGCCAATAAATTCCGTAGTGCTTTACCATCTTATGAGAGGGGGGATTTAACTATAAATAGGACAATTACAAGAATATTTACAGGTACGATAGGTTGAAGAGGACCCTGCTCAAACGAGCTTACAGTATATGAAATGTCTTATAAGATTTGAAAATATCTGACATTGTGCAACTGTTAATGTCAGCATATACATGTAAAATTAAGGTGCACTATGCCTTTATTTAAAACAGTTAAAACCAGGACAGCCCACAATTCGCCTCCGAATTAAACATGCAGTTCAGCGAATGACTTTATATTTAGCATATAGTTTGATAAACATCTCAGAATTAACAGTGAACTAGAACAGCTACACAATTTTCATCCGTTTTGGCTGATGAATGGTAAACTAGCTAACAGCATACAGAACTTATGCGATGACTAGTTTCACTGTAAATTTCCCTTTAGAAATTAATACAGATAGTGAATGAAGACCATTTTGAACAAGCCCTGAATTCACATGTTGCTTTTGCATCTAGAAGACTTGCTTTGGATGACCATCTGGCTTCCATCCGTGATGCCTGGTTTAAAGTTCAATCTGCTCTGGGTACTGTTTCAAGCATTTTGCCAACCCTTGTGCCAACCCTGTTTACCAAGTGGGTGAGAGAGCTTGGTTATCTTCTCGTAACATCAGGCTCAAAGTCCCTAGCATGAAATTTGCTCCTAGCTTCCTTGGACCTTTTCGTGTCCTTCGTAGGATCAATCCTGTTGCGTACTCTCTGGCCCTTCCGGCCTCCTTGAAAATTCCTAATACCTTTCATGTGTCCTTGCTCAAACCTCTTGTTTGCAATAAATATACTGTCTCAAGTGTCCCTTCTCCTCCCTTCATTGTTGCTGGACAGGAAGAGTATGAGGTCTCCTCCATAATTGATTCCAGGTTTTCTCGGGGCACTTTACAGTACTTGGTGGATTGGAAAGGTTATGGACCAGCCGATCTTTCTTGGGTTCCGGCATCTGATATATATGCTGGCCGCAAGATTCGCAATTTTCACGCCAAATTTCCTCTCAAGCCTGGTCCTGCCCACCCAGTGGACGTTCTTCAGGTGGGGTGGTAATGTCACGTATTCACCGCTTATAAAAATGTGGTTAATGACATTTACTGTCCACACAGGAAAAGTTGTGCCAAGCAGCAACCAAATCCACAGAAGGGTTAATGCTGAGCAGCAATTATGCAAATGGAAACCTGGTAACTGCTTTGGGGTGAAAGGCCGGTTACAGCCTATCAGATCTAGAGGAGGGGTATTTAGGCCCAGTTCTCATCCTGCTCAGTGCCCTGTCGTGGTTTCCCTTGTGGTTGTCCGAGAGCGCGTTATTGATTCTGGTAATTCTGGTTATTTGACTTTGGCATTGTTTTTCACTTCCCTGTTTTCTGGCATCCCTGACTCCTGGCTTTTCCTTATAGTTGAGTCTCTTTCTGTTTCTCTTGACCTCGGCTATTCCTGACTATTCTTTGGTACGTTAGTCCGGCCATTCTAAGGTCCGGTATACGTTACCTATCAGTCCTCTGTGTTATACAATTCTGTGTGCTGGATCATTCTGTAATCCTGACAAGATGTTCAAACATGACAGAAATGTCAATATTGCAAAGTAATAATTGCCTGCTTTTTTGTTTTGTTTTTTAGTCTGGGTCAGATTGACCACTAGGATTAGGAGTTATGTTCTGCTCGCAGTCAAACTCTGACCCCCCAGTAAAACATGATTATTAAATGCTGCTAAAAAAATACACTCTACACATTTCAAAAGCATTACACGCTATGGATTTCTGCATTTATGCTTTAATCATGTGAATGCTTTGGAGGAAAAGTTTGACCTTTTACATATAAAACGGTAATTTCTTCACTTTTTTAGATCAATGTGAATGTTATTGTCTAAACAAATTCAACAGTGCTAGATAATGAAGTAAATACTGTTTCAAAGATTTAATTTAACTTCTATAAACCAATATGTCATATATTTGAAACTCTAGTTGAAATTCCTTTATATGATTTTCTCATTCCCGTTTTAGAATATGTTGTATTTAAGATATCGTAGATGCTGTTAATCTTAATATCTGTGATAATTACATTTTTAGTTTATCTGTTGTATTTTTTGTCTCACCTAACTGATTTTTACACATTTTTTTATAACACAATCTCTCTGGCTTCCAAGAAGGTCATTGACTGTGGTTATGAATAATTTCATATGATTATGTGCTTCCTAAATAATGCTTACTTTGCCTTGCAAACACCTCACTGGTATTACTGTTACATTTCAGTTCATAGGTGATAAAAAAAAATATCACACTGTATAGTATGGGGTGGGTCACACTTGAAAGTAACCTTTCTCAATTTACTCAATATTTCACACTTAGCTTTTGTATGAATTTGAAAGTTGCTACTGGCTGAGCAAGAGCATCTGTTCAAGCAGATGTTTTAATATTTATTTGCTTTGCCTTTTTTGAAGTGAATATTACAAATGCTCTCTACTCGTGTCTTTAGTACTTTCAGATCTACATACATATTGCAAATAAATTCTACAGAGAATATCTGTAATATGTATTCACCCTTTTCGACTATCCTGCTGTTTTTTATTCTGTTGACCCTTCCTTTATTTCTCATACTACAACCTTTCAATATTTATGACAAAGCTATTTCCTGATTTTTTTTTTCTTTGCACCATTATTTGATTGTGCGCATTCTGAGTCAGATATGACTACCTGCTGCTTTACCCAAAGGCTCTGTCTTGGGTTCCTTTCCCATCCTATCTTATTTTACATACTCTCACAGGGATATGTAATTAACTCTCTTGACATCAAGTATCCTGACATAAATTCATCTGAATAACACTGTAAAGGCTTAAAAAAAAAAAAAAACGTAAATCCCTATTACTACAAACCATCAATAATATAATCTATCTATCTATCTATCTATCTATCTATCTATCTATCTACACCATCCTTACCTTTAGAGCAGCCTTACTTTTTGTAACATTTACATTTAAAGGTATCAAGAATGATTCACAGAGATACTGACACATGTACCCTATAGATATATCATATTGTCTAGTATAATTATTATTATTATAATATTAGTAGATTTTCCTCAAGATATCTCAGTGTAATTATGCAATTTTTGGCTAACTATTTTAAATGGCATTTAAGATACATATGTAGACTTATACCAGATGGTGAGTCATAGTGGAGTGAAGTTCTCAGTTTGCAATATTAAGGATGGAATATCCCAGCTGTATAGAATCTTTAATTCAGATGAACTTTGGATTGTCCCCAGCCCTTCTATTTTGTAAAAAAAAAAAAATATAAGTCAATTATCGAGCCACTCCAATATATAAATAAATACAAATCACTGAATAAGAACCTGGGTGTGGGGATCCCTGTGTCCTCTTGCTCCTGCTTGAAGAGTTCCCCAGTTTTCACACTACAGTGGAAATGCCTGGCAATCCAAATGCAATAATGATCAGGTGTCGGACACCCTGGGCTGCCAAGACTGTGCTGTCAAGGAAAGAAAGGCAAGCTAGGCAGTAGGACTACTTCATAAATATGTACGATCAGGTGGGTGATTTTGTTAACTTGCTTTTCAGACATGATCAAGGCATGAGATCAAAGAAAATATTAAAGAGTGGGCTGGTTGAGACTATACTAGGGTGATGAGGAATCCAATTGTCTCTGTTCAACCTATTTATGTTTGTTTGTTTTTTGTCAACAACTGGCACTACCCTCAACCTCCCCCATTGTTGTGCCTAGGTTTGGTAGTAGTGGAGAAAGTACTGCTGCTACTGTTGCTGCAACTTTTATAAAATGCCTGTCATTGTACTGGTTTCACTTTCCCTTACGTTTGTGTTGAATAGTGGGTTACTGTTTGGTGTATTTACTACTAATTGTGTTTGACACTTCAACACTGTGCTTCAACACTTGCACAACACACAGTAAAGGGAAAAAAGGCTTTGCAAATTGATTCTTCATCAATTATGATGTATCATGTCTTCTACCCTGCAACTAAAACACTCAGTGTAGACAGTGTTCACATGTGGAGTCACACACTGAGGGGAGAAGATTGCACTGCAGAATTAGTGGCACAGACGCACACTGCAAAGCAAATCACCTATCTCACCACTCAAAGATGTTTCAAGTGCCTCTGTTGGTAGCTGCTATCTAAATTCAGCAGAAACTGCTAAAGCTAGTGCCACACTAGAAGCAATGACCCTGGCTAGGAAAAATACTTTTTTTCCCTAGCACCAGAATCACCCAAAATGAGGATGTACATTCCCCTGAGAAGTTAATAAAAAAATAACATATTTCAACAACTGAATATTGCTAAGCTCTTACTTTGTATTTTCAAATTTAGCTGGTCAAATGTATATATTTGAAATTTTGGTGGCAGTTTTGTGTATTATATGTATACTGCAAATAAAATTAGACTTAAATTGATTAAATGTAATTTGTTTTTCCATCTTGAATGACCATTCTGCTAAGCTATATTAGCTTTAATGTTTTTACTTTGTATTTGTTTCCTTATGGTTTATGGAGGTGTGTATTGTTATATCATCTATGTATCTTGTTTTTCAGTGTAAAGTGCATGCCAGTCAATGTAATGTAAATGCAATGATCAGCCACAACATTAAAACCACTGACAGGTGAAAGGAATAATATTGATTATATCATTACAATGGCATCTGTCAAGGGATGGGATATATCTGGCAGCAAGAACAAAATTTCATGTGTTGGAAGCAGAAAAAATGGGCAAGCGAAAAGATCTGATTGACTTTGACAACGGCCAAATAGTGATGGCTAGACAATTGGATCAGAACATCTAAAAAAACAGCAAGTCTAGGGTGGTGTTTTTGGTATGCAATGGTTAGTACCTACCAAAAGTGGTGCAAGTAAGGAAAAATGGACATGGGCAAGGAATGCTACCCTGTCTGGTCTGATCACACAAAGGAGCTACTGTAGCTCAAATTGCTGAAAAACCTACTGCTGACGATGATAGAAAGGTGTCAGAACACACAGTGCATTACAGTATTCAGTATGAAAATTTTGAACTGTAAAGATATGAAGCTTTCTATCTAGTTCTATATATATATGCATACACACATTTGATTTTCAATACAGTTTAGAACATGTTGCTGCTCTCTCTCTGTTGTAACATAAAGGGAAGGGTAGGAAATCTGAGCCTTTTCAGTCTTTGTGAAATGATGATGCAGAGGGCACAAGCTCAGATTGGCTTAAAAATGTATTTCTCGCAACCTGAATAAAATCAGACTAATCAAACAAAAGGGGAAGGCAAATTCATTTTTGGGGGGTTTTCTTTTGTTTCTTTTATTAATCTGCATTGCTTTATTTAACCCCTTAAGGACAGTGGGCATTCTTGGGGACCCGGCTCTAAATGCCGGCGGCATAGAACGCCCAAGCTGTCCTCTGTACTTACCCGGTCGCCGGTGATCCCACGACGATGATCACGGGGTGGGGGCTCACCTAGTAGCCAAGGGAGGGAATGGAAATTAGCCCCATGATGGTATATCATTTGCAGTAGTAGACAACCCAAGGTATTACAAATGGGGTATGTCCAGTCTTTTTTAGTAGCCACTTAGTCACAAACACAGGTCAAAATTGGTGTTCAAATTTGTTTTTTGCATTGTTCACACACAAATATTAACAATAAGTTTGGCCAGTGTTTCTGACCAAGTGGCTACTAAAAAAGACTGGACATACCCCATTTGCAATACCTTGGGTTGTCTACTTTTGCAAATGGTATGCCATCATGGGGGTAATTCTCATT